GGAGCCCACCCAGGGACGTGGAAAGGGGGGTGCAGCACACAGACCCAGCCAGCCTGCAGCCTGTGCAATGTTCACGCCCAGTTTAGAACAAAAATATTTTTAGCTAGGTGCAGTGACTCATACCTATTATCCCAGCGCTCTGGGAGGCTGAGACAGGAGGATTCCAAATTCAAGCCCACCCTGGACAACTTTGTGAGACCCTGTCTCAAATTTTTTAAAAAGGGCTAGAACCAGGCACGGTGCCACATGCCTGTTAATCAACATCCGAGAGGCTGAGGCAGGAGAGCTGCAAGTTCCAGCCCAGCCAGGGCAATTGAGCAACTCAGTGAGACCCTGTGTCACTATACGAAGAAGGGGGAGGGAGGAGGGACAGAATGGGAAGGGTTATACAGAGTGCCAAGATGTGACACGTGTGTGCAACAATTCCCACCATGAATATATTTATTGTGTATTGCAAAATACACTGACAAAAAGGAGAAAAAAACAGAAAAAGTAAATGCCATCTCTGTTCCCAACATTTTAAATTCTAAATTTTTTTCTTAAAAATTAAGAACTGAGGCTGTAGCTCTGTGCAAAGGCCCTGGGTTCAATCCCTAGCCCTGCAAGGAAAAAAAAAAAAGAGTACGGTGTCTTTGTTATTTATATAACTGACTACTGTGCCCGCGGCCTGAGACAGGCCTCTCCAAGGCTGGCTACCAGTATCCTAGGAGCCTGAATCTGAGGCAACGGGGTGCTCAGACGGCCCCCACCAGTGGCTGACACCAGCCCTAAAGAAGAGCCCCCAGGACCCCCCTACCCAGGCTGGCAGAGAGCCCAGGGAGGGGGGCCCCCAGGGCAGTGTCCCCCACACCCCAGGCGCTGCCAATCAGACCAGCAAGGGGGAGTGGCTCCAACTCTCCGCAGGGTAAGGGGGTGTGCAACACAGGGATCCTTACTGGAAATCTGCCAGCGAGATCCCTCGCGGCTGCCCCCGGGAGGGTTCCACTGCCAAACTGCCAGTGCGCGCCCCGCACCCCGTGACCTGCGAGCAGCGCCCTCTAGTGGCCAATCCAGCCTGACGCTGGCTGGGGAGAAATCTAAAGGGCCCAGCTCCTTTTTCCCAAAGCAGCCAAGAAGGAAGGAGTGGCTGCAGCTTAAGGACAGCCTTGGATAATAACCCTCAGCCTCTACCACTTTGACTGCTCAGCTTCCCTGCGGACCGTCCTGCACAACTCCTGCACAGAAACACAGCTCCACGCGTCTACCTAACACGCAGCTACCCTTCTCACCAGAAAACTCTCACCCTCGTGTGAAACAGGGACACAAACCCAGAAGTCACCACCAACCGTACTGCTTATGCTTCGGACTCAAAGTCACAATGCCGTGAGATGTGCCGTTGCTCGGCTGTGACGTGGAGTTTCAAAGATTTGCAATCCTGGCACTCTGGGAGGCTGGGGCAAGAGGGCAACAAGGTCAAGCCCAGCCTGGGCAACCTACCACAGTGGCTTAGCCAGACCTTGTCCCAAAATAAAAATAAAAAGGGGTGGGGGTGTAGCTCAGTGCCAAGGGCCTGCGTTCAATCCCCGGTACTGCGGGGGGCACTACTCTAGGAAAAAAATCATGTCCCTACCCGTCTACCGCCTCTCTTCCTCCTCACTTTCCCCCAACACTGGAGCGTCACTGGTATTTACACCGCATTCACGGAGTATTAGCTATAAATAGTAATCTAGGCAGGACTTAATGTATTCCAAGAGATTGTGTGCAGGTCACACACACACACACACACACACACACACACACTGTCTATGAGGGGCTTGGGCATCCGAGGATGTTGGCATCCACTCGAGGCCCGGGCACCCACACCCACGGGCACCCAGGAGTGACTGTCCCTCCGGCCACCGCTGACGATCCCCAGGGATCCGCACTCTGCTGGTCTGCGCACTCTTGCTGCCCTCTCCGGCAAATGCGCCTGCCCCGCTCTTCTCGGGGTCCCGTCTCTATGGAGACAGGGGGCCCCATGCCGGTGGAGGTGACCTCTACCGCCACAAGGCGTTTGCAGGTGAAGCTTCTCCCACACCGGTGGCTTGCTCAGTGTCTGTCTCCGCTCCCTCAAGTGGCGCCCTGCAGGTGTGGGGGAGAAGAGACCGCGCACGACACACGCCGTCCAAATCCCCGTCTCCCCGGCCTTGGATTCTCTCTTCACGTCAAGTCCAGCTGTTGGCCACGGTCACATCCCGGTTTAATCAGCAAACCAAGTCAGCTGTTCCAGCCACAACCGGCTGCAGGTGCTCATGATAATCAAGCCCGTGCCCTCTGGTGGGGGCGCCCTTGTCAGTGAATTCAGCAGTCTGGTGCTGTACTCGGCCCTCCTCGATCTGAGACCCTTAGAAAACCCCACACATACACACATCACCCAGTGTCTGGCTGATGAGCGTCTGCAGAATTCCTCACGGCTCCATCCCAGGTCCTGGTGTGCACCTGTCACTGTGGATGTGCTCAGACCCCAGCGAGGACAAGTGACCCTGTGGAAGTGAGGGGCCCCGGTCATCCTGCGAGGCGCACATCCAGCTGAGACACTCACAGGCTTGTTTGGGGCCTTTCACTGAGCTCCAGCCCCAACCCTTTTTTTTTATAGTTTTTTTTTTATTATTTTGAGACAGGGTCTTGATAAGTTGCTCAGTCTGGACTCAAAGTTGCTGTTCTCCTGCCTCAGCCTCCCAGAGTGCTGGGATTACAGACACAGACCACCACTCCTGGCTTGATCGCAGGTTTTACAAGAGGAATGAAGCCTCTTCAAGCCCTAGAGGTCAAGGTCCCTCCACTGAGAAGGGATGTTCAGGGCAACACGGGGTTTCAGACCGCCAGTTTTATCTGAATCCAACAGACGTCCCCGCTCCACAGGCCAGGACCCTGTTCTGTCCCTTTCAATGCCCTACTTTTCACACAGGAAACTTGTCAAGATAAGAGTCTGATTGTCCTTGTAATTTAGCAACCAGCACAATTAAAGTCCGTGCTTGATTTTCAGCAATACCAGCCCTGTGGCTGCGAGATAGGAGAGATTCTGTGAGGCCCATGCTGGGAGCCCCAGGTTCTCTCATCACGGCTTGAGGAAGAGGTAAGGGACTCACTCGGGCTTGTCGCTTGCTCTCCAGAAGTGCTCCAGAGCCCTCTGAAGATCCCACCCACCCCCCACTGCCCAGTCCTTACCATCAACATTACACAACCACGTGCAGCCTGATCGGCCACGGGGGGCAGAGGAACTTGTAAGGTCACTGCCTACCTCCGGGTATTGGCACCCAAAGCCAAGCCCAAGTCACCAGGAAACCTGTCACCGCCTGCCACCTGCGGGTCCGACCCCTGGCATTACACCTGACACCAATTCTGTATCATGTGGGGCCCGTCAAGACAAGGAACCCACACAGCCATTTCAACGGGTTGGTTTCGTAGGACAGCTTAGCAACCTAGAGTAGGCGACTGAGTTCACAAGGCATTAACTAGCAAGGAATACAGCGGACACCAATTAGCAGTAAGAGCAACCCCTCAGAGGCACGGCAGAGACCCCCGAGGAAGACCCTCGCCAGGGCTGCCACGGAGCCTGAGACCCCCCCAGGCAGGGCTTGGTGGGTGCTGGAGGAACTCCCCCAGATCACAGACAGCGCCCCCGGAGAAAAGGGTCCTGGAGGGCTTTGGTAGGCTCCAACCCCCCCAGTGAAACAGTCTCCAAGGAGGAAGGAAGCCCCAGGCCTGAGGCAGAGCTCCCTAGAAAAAGCCTCCACTCCAGGGCCAAGACAGAATTCCAAAAAGAGCCCCAAAGTCTGAGGCAGAGGAAGAAGAGACAACCCCTTTCTCAGCCTGAGGGGAAGCCCCGAAGAAGTCACAGACGGGGGCTGAGACCAAGCCCGCACTCGGAGCTGACCGACACCCAACGGGGACGCCCCACGTGGGCTGTTTGATGTCCCCCAAGAAGGGGTCCTCGCCCTACGACTAAAACACAAACCCCTAGCTCAAGGCAGGACGCCCCACAGTAGGACCCCTCGGGAGAGTCCTCTCCCCAAGGCAGAGCCGATGAGGACCGGAGCTCCCAGAAGTGCACCCCACACCTTTGGGGCCTGCTGGGGTGGGGGCCCAGGGCTCCGCGCCCGGCATGAAAAGCAAGCGAAATGTCTGAGTCGCCCTCTCGCGGCCAGGCCAGCTGGGGAGAGATTTAAAGGGCCCGGCTCCTTTTTCACCCAGCAGGCAAGAAGGGCGGACGGCCCTAAACGCAGAAGAGAGCATCGGTGACTCTCACCAGTGACCGGTCAGACGAGGTGGATCCGTCTTATGGAGATGATGCCGAGGGAAAGACGCCAGATACAAATGGCGCCACCTGCAACGTCCCCTCTAAATGAAAGTCCAAGAACAGGAAAAGCGGTCGGCCTTGGCAAAAGTCAGAATGAGGCACCTAGGGCACAGGGGGCACTGTACCAGAAGGGGTCCAGGGCAATATTCGGGGCAGTGAAAATAGTCTTGCCGGGCGTGGTGGCGCACGCCTGTAATCCCAGCACTCTGGAGGCTGAGGCAGGAGGACTGCTGTGAGTTCGAGACCAGCCTGGGCTACATAGTGAGTTCTGGGCCAGTCTCATCATGAGACCCTGTCTCAAGAAAAGAAAAGAGTCTCTGTTTTGACTGGGGTGGTGACAAGCCAGAGGAGAACCCCTGACTCGCTCTCTTGCGCGGGCTGGAGGGGCCCTGGTTTGTCCAACAGCTCTCGAGCCCTCTCCCCCGTGGAGTGAGACATCTTGCCTGGTGTCCACCCTCGTTATTTAGCACCCCCCTTCTCCAGGCCATTAGGCCAGAAGTACTGCTCTGCTGTCGGCTTGGTGCCCCTTCCCCCAAAATCCAACCCTCCCGAATCCCCTCCCTCAGCCCCTCCTGCCATTCTGATGCTGCTGCTGCCTCTTTGAGAAGAACGTGGCTAAGATCGAGGAGGGAGTGATTCGGGCCCATTATTAACATCGGCGACCACTTTAAACCTCAATTACCTGGGTTGAATTAGCTCCCTGGTTTGGGCCTGCCTTTTTTCATGGACTCGGGACAGCTGCCAATCAAACAGCTTCTCAAGGACTCGCCGTCATGACGCCACGGCAAGATGGGTGAGGCTGTACTAGTCGCAGACCGCCAACACGCACACAGTTTGGACCAATCACAGGCCTGTACTTGGACCAATGAGCAGGCCTGAATTAGAACCAATCACAGTCCTGCATTTAGACCAATCCTAGCCTTGCAGCTGCTATATAAATACCACTCCTCTTCTTCGGTTAGTCTAGGTGAGCTTTCTCAAGTGTGCTCTCTACCCGGCAGCCCATCTCGCTTCTCTCCTGTCTCCCACACCCTCCTGTACATAGGGCCTATGAGAAACTGGCTCCGGTGGCTCTGATGGCCCCGTAAATCTGCTCCTGATCGATTTATCAGGGGGTGAGGGCTTGGGAAGTCCTGCAAATCCAGGACTAGTGTGGACAAAGCAACAGTTTCAAAAGAAAACACAGTAAACATTAGGGGGTTGTTATCCCTGAAGAGATCCGGAGACCAGCGCCCAGCAGTCTCGCATCGGCCTCGACACAAGCCAGCGTCTCACAGTGGCAGCTAGCAGAGGCAGAAGGCAGCAGCTGGCCGCGTCAGCCAGGAGCTTCCAGCCCGACCTGGAGTCATCCAGCGGCATCGGAGTCACTAGCCGAGCTGCACTTTGCCATTTCATGATTTCTATCTGAATGAAGCAAAATTACTCAACCGTAGTCGACAGGGGTGTGTCCAGGTTTACACATTTGTGAAAATCCGTGAGAATAAATCCTTACGATCGCATGTTCCATTGTAGATAAATTTCACGTCAGTATTTCAAAACAGCCCCCCTCATGTTTTGGGGTTTATTTGAGGGAGGCTTCTGGGGATAAACTCAGTCTCAACTTCACCTGAGCTATATCCCAGCCCTTTTCTTATTTTTTATTTTGAGTAAGGGGGTCTCCTGAATTGCTGTTACCCAGGCTGGGATTTAAACCTGGGATCCTCTAGCTTTAGCCTCCCAGAGTGCCTGGATTCCAGGCATACAGGCCACACCCAGCTCAATTTTTAAAATTGCATATCTAATCACTGTGCACTACCTGTACACAGTAGACAAATAGATATTTTGAGTAAACAAAAGCACATATGAATCACTTGCTCTTTTTGCTTTTTTTTTTTTTTTCTTTTTTTTGTACCAGGGCTCAAACTTAGATCTTTGCACTTGTAAGGCAGGTGGTGGAACCACTGAGCTAAATCCCCGATGCTTTTTGCTTTTCTTACATCAAATTTTGGACAGATCTCCCTTATCCTGGGACAGTGGCCACTAAGACACAGTTGTCATTGCCTGGGCAAGACCAAACCTGGAAGAAACCATCAGGACCACTGTCACTTTTGTGCCTTAGTATTCAACCTTTCCTTCCATAAGAATTAAGTAGAAATACACTGGGCTAGGGAAGTTTTGCACCACACTTAATCGGCAGCTCTTTTCCAGCAGTACAGAAATTAACAGCTTCGTAGACCTGGTGGAATGTGGTGTCACAAGTCCATATCCCCACTGTGGACCCCACTGGACCCCTGGCTCTTCCTCCTGCCTCTTCATTCCAGTTCGGCATCTGCACTTGTGCAGTGGGACTTTGCACTGCTGGTGATCCTAGCAATTCCCCTCTCACCCCATGCGTGGGGCTTGGCTGTTTGACCTGCCTTAGGACCTGTGCCACAGGATGCCAGTTCCGAGATGGGCCCTTAGGCAACATCGCATGCTTCTGCCCAGCCGTGAAAGGGCCCTGGCTAGAAACTGGGCAAGGAGCTGAAACGAGTGAGGCCCATGTTGAAGAGCCAACCTGCCACCAAAAGCAGAGGGATAATTGCTTGCAGTTGTAAGCATCTGAGATTTGGGAGTTGTGTGTTTATGTGGCATTAAGATAGTGGCCATGTCAGCTTTCCTTGGCTGTGACAAAACGCCTGTGGTAATTAACTTATAAGGAGGAAAGGTTTATTCTGACTCACGGTTCCAGAGGCTCCAGTCCATGGTCACTTGGCTCCATTGTTTCTGGGCAGGGGGTGGGTGGTGAGTGAAGCCACTCATCTCCTGGTGACTGGGAAACAAACGAGCAAGAGGAGGGAGCCAGGGTGTCGCTGTCCCAACCAGGAGCCGCCCCTGGTGAGCTCGCCTCCCGTGAAGCCCTCCTAAGCCTCCACCGCCTCCCATCACACTCAAGACCGGCGACCAAGCCTCCAGCGCATCACCCTTGGGTTCACCCAAGACGCAAAGCTCCGCGGTGGTGACAGCGACACACTCACTGTTCCCACCCACATCCGTGTCCCCAGCCTGGACATAGCTGCTGCACAGGGCCCCAGGAGACCAATAGGAAGGGTGGTCCTTGGAGGGACACGCTGGGCTTAAATCTCAGCTCCTCCGCTTAAAAGCCAGACGAAGCTGGATGTGGTATAGACCCGGCACTCTGGGAGACCGAGGCAGTGGGGTCGCAAGTTGGAGCCCAGACTGAGTGACTCAGCAAGACTCTGTCTCAGAAGAAAAATGTTTTTAAAGGACTGGGGATGTAGCTCGGAGTAAAGGCTCAGTTCAGTCCCCCCAGCACTGAGGAAAAAAAAAAGCCAAACAACCTTGGGCGAGTGATCTAGACCTTTATCTCCACCTCCTGTAAAATTAAGGCCCCACCCGTGGCACCGGTGTGATGTGGTGGAAAGCCAGGCCTCGCTCTTTCCCTTACGCTAACAGCCCAGAAGATGCATGTGATCCCCTTTCAAGGCAGGTGTCTGTGCTGGACCCCAGGACTGAGGCCCCTGGGACCCACTTTGGCACCTCAGACCTCGCCAGAAAACTCAGCCTGACGCTCCTGGGTAGGCTCTGGTGGGAGGAGTCTGACAGGAGCCAGGAGGGACAGCTGTCAAGGGACCACACCAGCTCTGTTTCCAACCTGCCCGACATCCCAGAGGCTGGGTGGGTGCCCTGCTCCAACTTTGCAGACTGCTCAGCTAGAATTTCCCACCCCACTTATTCCCTGTGTGAAGACCCTATCAGGAAAGACCAGGGAGGACGGTGCTGCCCATCTGGTCCAGGCAGGGGGCAGGAGTGAAGATCCGCCAGCCAGGGGATCCACTGCAAGAGGCTTCTGCCTAGTGATCCCCACCCCACACACCACACGCCGAGCCCAGAACAGAGAGCGCAGCAGGACACAGGAATTCCAGCCCTGCCTCTGCAACAGCCCGCTGTGCGACCTGGGTAGGTCCCCTGACCTCTCTGTGCCTCCATTTCCTGGCTTCTGTGAGGAGTGATAGCTAGGGTGCCTCCACGGTTTGGGTCACAGACTGACCTGAGGACCCGGTGGAAGCCAGGGACAGCCTCCTGAGAATAGGCAGTAGCCTCAGCAGCCCGGGACTTGGAGCCGACAACCCCAAAAGTGCCACCTGGCAAAGCTCCAGGTGTCCGCCAAGGTCACGAAGTCCCAGGGGGTACAAAAGTTTAGAACCGGTTCTGGGAGCTCATCACACCTTGGCCCTGTGTCCTCGGGGATCACGGACAGGAAGATGTGCTGTCGTCCTCTCGTGATATTTCCTGTTCTGTGCTCACCTGAACTCAGTCCGCATGGCAGGCCTGTAAGAGGCCCAGAGACCTCTCTGTGTGCTGTGGGCCCTTAAAGCAAACCCTCAACCCCCGGGGCCTGCACAGGTTGGGAATCCAGAGTGGCGCAGGCCTCCCACAGTTGGCAGCTGCCAGCCGGCCAGGGCTTGACTAGGACTGGAGAATCTTGCGGCCACATGGTGACAGCAGACGCATTTCCTCTCTGGCTGTTCTCACGGGGGCCTCCTGCAGGCTTCTACGGGGTTTCGGGATGTGGCGGGCGCCTTCTTCCAGCAGCAGCAGCCAGAGAGACAGAGAACTCGACAGAAGCAATTGTGTCTTTTGCAACCCAGCCCTCTGCCTTCAGAAGTGACCGCCCTCAGTCCTGCCCTAGGCTGGGACTACGTGGAAGGAGCGTGGCCGAGGGCGTGGCTACGAGGAGAGGACAGTCACTGGGGTCCACCTGGGAGCCCCTTCTACAGAGGGAGGGACAGAGACGCTGAGAGATGGAGGGACTCCCAAGGCCTAGCAAGGGATGGAGGAGATTTGAAAGCCAGACCGGCTGGCTCTCCATCTACGCTAGTGTACGTCCTCTTCCCCGTCTGGCCTCAGACTCCCACAACAAGAGAGGGAAGAAGCAGACTGCACAATCTTTAAGGAATGGAAGAGTCAGGAGTCCCGCGTACTTTCACTGAGCAGCCTAGGGCCCTGGTTGATGGCTCCACCTCTGTGATCAACCAGCCGGACCGAGTCTCAAACTGTCTCTAGGTCCCTGTTACCTCTTCTACGGAACAGGAGGAAGAGAGGACAAGACCCGCTGATGAAGGAAGATGGCAATAAAGATGAAATGAAATGATCATGCTGGATGAGTCAGGTTTCCCATCGATACTGGATATCCACAACCTAAAGGAGAGGTTTTTTTTTGGTTTAGGGTTTGGAGGGGTTCAGTCCGTGGTCAGCTGGTTCCAAGGAAGAAACAGCATGGTGGGAAGGCCGGAGGAGGAGGAGCGCTGCTCCCTTCTGGGTACTCAGGAAGCAGAGCCGGAAGGGAGGAGCTGGAAGGGGACACAGACTCTCCAGAGGCGCACCCAGTGTCACACCTTTCCTGCAAGGCCCCACGTCTAACAGCACGTGAACTTATCCATGGATCCATCCACTGGTGAGTATACAACTGCCACGATCCAGTAACCTTCCTAAAGACTTCTGAGCGCAGGAGACTTTGGGGCAGCTTTCTAGATCTAAAGCGTGACGGCTACGGATGGTGCTAACGGCAAGAGACACACACTTTGGGAACTTCCTGTGACTCCATTGTATTTCATCACCGCAATCTTTGCTTTCGATGGGTGGCACACGGAGCGGCCTCGGGCATCACTTTAGAACACACTAGAGCTGCAGCCAACGCCACGCCCCACCCTACGGCCCGCCAGGTGATTGTAAGTGCACAGGTGGCTCGGGACCACCGGAAGGAGAAGCCCCAACCTGTCCCCACTCTACAGGAGAGAAAACTGAGCCAGAAGGAGGTTTCCAGGCA